TTCCCATATGTTCTCTTAGGTACTTCCCCTTCTAAATCATAAAACCTCAGAGAAGAAAATGGAGAGGATCTCTCTCTCTCTCTCTCTCTCTCTCTCTCTCTCTCTCTTTCTCTCTCTGTGTGTGTGTGTGTGTGTGTGAGTGTGAGTGTGAGTGTGTGTGTGTGTCTGTGTGTGTGTGTGTGTGTGTGTTTTGGACACCCAATCAATTAATGTCATGGTCTGAACAGCCTCCAAAATTCTGTAGCCCTCCCTGGGTGACTTTTGCATTCCTGTCACCATGGGAGGCGAAATTGTTTTTTTCTTGTGACTTGGTTTTTAATCTCTAGGAATTCTAACAAAGAAGGAAAAAAAAGATAAACATCTGGGTTACAAATATACCTAGTGAGATACAGGGGTATCTGTACTGTCTGGTAGAAAATAGTACCTGGGCTGTGTTTTGTGAGAGCGACTGTTCCTTGTGCAGATTCAAACCACTGTTTTGTTTTGTTTAGCTTAAGCTATCAGATTTGTTCCCAAGTTCCTACTATATCCCAGTATTGTGCTGACTTTAGCAGAGGTCAAAGAAAATATTTAAGATTCAGCGATGGCTGACAGGGCAGAGAGGGCTAACCTGGTGAAGACAGAAGATAGTGGAGGAAAAGCTCTGCAAAGGGCAGGCTTGCCCTGTGCAGGGTGTAGGAATCAAAGGCCAGGTCAAGAAGGGCCTGATAGTCCATTTTCTGCTGCTAGCACAACACACCTGAGCTCAGGGCCATATAAAGAGAACAGGTTTATTTTGCTCCCCGTGCTGGAAGCTGAACGGTCAGGATCAGGCATCTGTATCTGCTCTTCCCTATTGCCCTGTCAGATCACAGAAGATTGCTTCACAACAGGCTTGTGTGCAAGGAGGAGCCCTCACAGGGCGAGGCGGGAGTGATTCGGAGCCCAGGTCCACACTCCTAAGAGCTTCTCCTAAGAGAGAACGTACTGTCCTCAGCCTTCTCCAGAGAGCCGCCTTCCACGGTGCTCAGCAGTGATTAGAGCTACAGCTGGTCAGAGAGCTGAGAATAAGCCCTGTAGAGAGCACAGCCTAAATGAGACATCTGTACTTGAGTAGAGATTTATATTATAGATGGAAATTTATATTATAGCTATAAATCTCTACTCTGATGTAGCTATGAATCCATACTATACTACACCCTCATCATCATACTGTGTCACCCCCACCCCACTCTTCTTGTCACCAAGGCTCAGGGAGCATCACCTTGTTAAAGGGGGCAGAGAGAAATCTAAGGATGGAGAGGAGAGCCGTGATATGCTGCCTGTGGATGTGACGTGGCCGTTGCTCTCGTAAACTCACACAGTGTGTGTTTTACCTTCCCCAAACCTATACAAGATCCAGCCAGCTGCACTGGTGAATATCCTAGCAAGCTGCATCAACTGGACTCAACGTTGCTGCGTTACAAAAAAACGGCAAAAGTCATGAAGATGGGAAGGATACCCCGAGAAAGGATATGCTCAAGCTCTACTGTATATGCGTATGAAATTGCCAAAGAATAAAAAGATTAAAAAAAATAATAACTGAGCAGCACCCCTGTGGTTTAATTACCTCCTACTGGGCCACTCATAAAGTCAGCCAGCCTTATTGGCTCCGCAAACAACGCCTCCAGCACAAGGACCCTTTGGGGAGGACAAGTCATATCCAAACTGTGGCAGAGCGCAGCAGGAGAGACAGAAGAATGTGACATACTCATTCTACCTGGGAGTGCTGGATCTTCCTCTGTCCCCACAGGCATCCCCCCCAAATGCACGTGTTGTCAGAGGAGTGGGGAGGGGCATGTAGGATGCAGAGTGCCTAGCTCAGAGCAGTCAGAACAGAGCCTGTTTTCTTGAAGTAAGTGGGGGGACTCACATCCTCTTGCCTGTTTCAGCTTGTCTGTTGAGAATGAATTTGGCACAGTGAGTGGGAGAATAATGGCTGTCTTCTTCCTTCTTTGAGGGAAGGACTTGGCAAACAAGGCTGATATGGACAGGCAATAATTAAATTGCCACGGATAATGTCTGATATAATTGAGACCGAGAAACTTGTGAACGTATGCCCCCACACAAAAGCATCACCTCACACAGAGGACTCCCTGGACCCTTTTGAACCTTTCTTTCTCAGAGTATGGAAATTAATGCCTTAATTACAGCCAGACGATGCTAAAAACTATAGGGGTAGAGGAATCGCAGGAAAGAAAAAAATACCTCTTTTCTTTCTAGTACTGAAAGGCAACGTCTGTAGGTTTAGTTCCTTCTTCCCTCCCTCCCTCCCTGTCTTCCTCTCTCCCTCCTTCCTTCCTTCTTCAGTTTGTAAGACAATGAAATGGGAACATTTTATTCAAAATGGAACTGAAAAGGCCAGGTGTTACCTATGCTGATTAAAGACAAGATCTTTACATATCTTTGTGCTTTTCTAAGGCTGGGCTCTGGAGATTGCACAAAGATGTGAATACCTCCCTGATCTTAAACAGGACTCACCTTTTGAGTTGTGAAATCAAAACAGGGGATCACAGATAATTGGGCATCTCTTCCTCCCATGAACTTTGAACTTGTATCAGAACTTTTATCAGAAGTCACTAATCTTACCCTTGCCTCTCACTGCCACACCTGTAGGTCCAAGCCTCTTCCCTATAGATCTATGCTTTGTTCAGAGATGCCTTGGATGTTTTCAGCTCTGTTGTAGTTAATATTTTTGCTTGGGAATCTGTTCCTGGATTTGTTAGAGAACACCAACAAGCGAGAAGTAGTGGCAGCCATTAGAACTTGTTCTTTTTCCACCCACCCTCTGTTTTCTCCACCTCTTTCTCTCTCTCTCTCTGTATTGTTTACATAGCATGTCTCCTCTGTGTCGTGGTCACCTCTCTCTCTATTGTTTATGTAGCATTTCTCTCTATGTAATGGGCCAGCCAACCATTCAGGTAGAACCAAGATTGTAATGGCTTAGACATTTATTGAACTCTTATAGTCATTGACATACAACCGGTGAGTTGTAAATTAACTTCAGAACTACAGAACTACATAGTCCTGTAACAGTATTTATGACATTTACCTACAACAAGCAAGAAAACGCTGGCATCATAGTCCATAAGTCATGAGTGGTACTGTATACATTGTATCCTCCCCCTTTGGAGACAGGGTCCACTGTACCCTGGCTGGTCTGGAGATCACTATGTAGTCAGGGCTGGCCTTGAACTTACAGAGGTGCTTTTTCCTCCACCTTCCAAGCGCTGGGATTAAAGGTGTGCACCACTATACCCAGCGCTTGTTCAATTTTTTTAAAATTATTTTCTTTCTTGTAATTTTCACAATCTGAGGTTATCTTGTGTGTATAGATATAATGATAAAAGCAACGGGGCTGTAGCTGATCGGTAAGAGCACTTTTCTAGGCCCCAAATTCAATCTCAGTGCTGCCAGTGAAAAGTAACATAGTACGCGATAAATGCATGCATGTGTGCGACCATTTGTTACTTTCCTTCCCCTCGCGAATGCTGGGTCCTTCAGGGCAGGAACTTTGTTTCCAGTTTCTTCTCGCTGGCTGACGATCTTTTAGAGCATGTAACAAACCATTTGGATGGAACCTAGAGAGTGATGGCTCAGACATGAAGTATTTGACTCTCAAAATTATTGAGATACAAGCAATTATTTGGTGGTAACTTTGCTTTAGCTCTGTTCGCTGAATTACTAGGAAAGCCCAGAATAACAGTTCAGTCTCCATTTGCTGGGGGGAAAGAGTTTTTTTTTTTTTTTTTTTTTTTTTAAACTAAGATCTAAAGTTCTATTTTCCAATATTCCATACCTCTGAAATTGGCTCTTTCTCCATTTGTAATTCTTCAGTGTCTTTTACAGGCATAGACACAAGAGGAATGCTTCCTGTCCAGGGCGAGAACTTATCAGACCAGAGTCTTCCAGGGCCCTGTGCACTAGTGTGCCTTATAAATTCCCAGCAAAGGAAGGCAAGCTAACTCACAGGAGAAGACTCCTCAGTTGAGAATCCAGCCAGAATTAGGCGGCTGGTGGGGCTGGGGAGCTGGCTCATTGGATAAAGCACCCAGTGTGTAAGCAGGAGACCTGGTTTTGGATCCCAGACACACAAACACACACACACAAAAGCTGAACGTGATGGAGAACATGAGTGGAGACCAGTGAGTCCCTGGGCCCTGTTGACCAACCAGACTACCTGAGTCTAGGTTCAGCAAGAGACTCTATCTCAGAAAATCAGGCAAAGGGGGAATGAGGTGAGATCTCTGATGTTGACCTCATGCATACACGCATTTGTACATGTACACCCCCACATATGAACAGGTACACGCTAAAGAGTTTCAGAGGAGAAGGTTGGTGTGGCTGTTCGTAGATGAAATCATGTCAGACTCTGGGACACTTGAAGGAAGGACCACCACCATGCATGAAGGAAGTACAGATTCTGTAGTGTAGACTGACATGAAATACAGGTGGAAATGTGACCCAGGCAAGCTTCAGAAGGACTTACAGTGGGCCTTCTTCTAACTGGTAGGAATGCCTAAAGGGTTTTTAGTAGAGGAAGGGAGCAGGGGCAGAGGTGCAGGGTGGTGGAGGCAGGTGGATATCTGTGAGTTGGAGTCTAGCCTGGTCTACAGAGTGAGTTCCAGGATAGCCAAGGTCTTCACAGAGAAACTCTGTCTAAAAACAAACAAACAAACAAACAAATAAATAAATAAAGGAAAGGGACATGGTCAGAATTTTAGGATGTGTGAATGATTTGATGAATTTATTATGACTTTCGACCAATCTGAAACTGTTTACCTACTTTTAGAATTGCATTTTGGGATAAGTTAGGAGTAGCTTGGAAAAAGTTACCAACATAAAAATAGGCCTCAAAGTGTGCACTTACTGTGTGACCTAATGAGTGAGGAATGCCCTGTAGATCGTCTACATGAAGATGCTCTCTCCATCACACCTTTGTGTTTCTTTCTGTCCCTTTTTTCTCCCCTTTCCCATTTTAGAACAACAAAGTCACACTATTCCGCCAGCTACAGCAAATGACATACAGTCTGATCGAGTGGCGCTCCCAGATCCTGTCTGGGACACTCCCCAAGGATGAACTAGCGGAGCTGAAGAAGAAGGTCACGGCCAAAATTGATCATGGGAACAGGTAACCTTGAACAGTCTTACACTGAGGATGAGGGAAATGACTGGCATCTTTGCACTAGACACTGTTCACGGCAATTTAGAAAAATCCTTTAAAGGATTTCAAACTGTGCGTTGAGGAGGTAGATCAGTCGATGGAATGTTTGCTTAGCTGGAATGTTTGCTTAGTTCGCACAAAGCTCAGCACTGTATAAACTAGTGTTCCCGGTGCTGTAATCCCAGGATGCTGAAGATGGAGGCAGGAGGACCGGAAGATGTGGCTAAGGATGAATGACTGCACAGCAAGTTCAAGGCCAGTCTGGGTTGACTATATGAGACCCTGTCTGAAAGTGAAAACAGAAAATAAATGGTTCACACTTTATGCATACCTGTACAGATTTATAGGACACGTGTATATAGTATTTATGTGTAATGATGATTAATGAGGTTAAATGGCATACCCATCAATTTAGCCGTCATCTTTGTGTTGGGAACGTTTTAAAATCCTCTTTACTGGGTATTTTGACATAATAAAGTTAATTTTTGTCAAGTAGAGTTATGCCATTATGCTACAGGAAATTAGAAATTATTCTTTCTATTGAACTACACAACTATACCAATTAACTACCTCCTTCCCTAGACTTCACTAGACTTTCGTAGGGGTGGGGTGGAACATTTTTTGTGTGTGGCAACATACTGGCTAGCAGAAGCAACTAAAGTCAGGAAAGATTTACTCTGGCTAGTGGTTTCCGAGAGTGGAGTTTGTTATCATAGGGAAGGTGTAGCAGAGGAGCTGCCGTCCATGGCAGTGGTGTCAGAAATCTATGACGGAGCTCCTCCACCCAGCACACCGTGGAGCAGAGTGCTCCAGACTAGGACCAGAGGCCTACCCCTAATAGCCCAAGTGGATCAGCTAAGGACCTCCCAAAAGTTTTTGCAAGCTCTCAGAAGAGTGCCACTGTCTGACAAGTATTCAGCCACACGCACCTGTGGGGGATGGTTCCCATTCAAAACTTAATCCCCACTGTGTCCCTTGTTACTTAATGTCTCTGTGTCTTAGAAGATCCCTGATTTCATAGAGAAATGCCATAATCCCCATCCTTCCAGCCCATTGATTCATTCTACCCACTCCCCCCCACCCCCCAAGAGAGGGTTTCCCTGTGTCCTTGGCTGTCCTAGACTCGCTTTCTAGACCAGGCTGGCCTCAAACTCACAACGATCTGCCTGTCTCTGCCTCCCTGAGTGCTGGGACTAAAGGCGTTTGTCACCACGCCCAGCTCAATCTACAGACTTGTCATGGGTCTGTCCCTGCTAGCTTGCTAGCTTGCTAGCTCCTGAACAGCCCAGCTCGACATGGGACATCCAGGCAGCACTATCTTTCACAATGTGGGAAATCCAGGCCATCTATAACAGTTGGCGTGGCCTGGGGTTCTGCTTTCAGCCAGCCCCTTCCAGAAGACCACAGAAGCCCTCGGTTGGCTTTGCTGTGACCTATAGTGCATTTAATTTGTCCAGTTCGTACTGAGGTCATTTCTGCCTGTACCTTTGCCCCATGGCCCCAACCTCAGGACCCTTACCTATCCTTCACAGCCCTGTTAAAATATAGTTCATTAGCCTATGGTGTAAATGTACTTTTACAAACGGTATGTAGAAACAGTCAAAGTCAACAGGATACAGAACTCAGTCAGTTTCACAAACTGACTCCATTGTACACTTCACGAACATATAACCCTAGAAAGTGGCTATTATGAAGTAGTTATTTTTTCGTTTCCAGTTTTCTTTAGGGGAAAGTGAGCTTAACAGATTTCCTTCCAGGTCACAAAGGCAATGAGAAAGCATTAACTTCAGCGCAGGCCCCAGTTCTTGGTCTCACTGTCTTGCAGTTGAGATGTGAATCTTTTCCCCAGTACTTGACATCTGAGGTGGTTAATGCCTCCTAGACAGGACCTACAATCCCCTAGGACACATCTGGACGTGTCTGTGAGGGGGGTTCCAGGTTAGGTTAAGTGAGGAGGTAGCATCCGACTCGAGTGGGAGGTAACCCTGCTCTGTGGGGTCCTGGATTGAAGAAGAGAAGCTAGCTGAGCACCAGCACATACCTGCTTCCTAAAGTGAAGGTGGAATGTGATCGGCTGCCTCAGGTCCTCTGGCACGCCTTCCCTTGAACTGTGGGCCAAAGTAACCCTACTTCCCTTAAGTTGCTTCTGTGAGGTTTTTTGATCACAGCAACAAGAGAAGTATCTAATCTAGACCCCTGGTGACCATAACTGCTTCAGCTGTCCAGCCTCTCAAGTAAGGTCTTAGGACTTGCTGTAAAGCCAGCTGAGGTGGGACACGGTTCTCTCCTTTTGTGATCTTGCCGCAGCAACATTGTTCTGGAGGAACCCCAAGGCCTGGCATAACACGTTAATGACTCCCACGTAGCAGAGCATGGCTGCTTTCCCACATTTGTCCTTGGAAGCATCTCAGGAAACGGAGCCTCTCTGCCAATCCATCCATGACCCAGCTCTGCCTGCATTGCCATCTCTCACAGGTCTGGGTGGCCTGTGGGTCTGGCTGCCTTGGGAAGGAAGCTGCCAGTGCAGTCACTCATACAGAGTAGATGTAGAGCAGGGGGCGGGGGGGGGTTGAGGCATATGTGCTTTCTTCCCAAGGATATCCACCCCCCCCCAATTTTCCCCTGAGTGTTGCTATTCCAGACATCTCTGCTCTCATGCGGTTACCTTGAATCTAGGCCTGAGTGTAGAATTCCATCCCATCAGTCTCTGACTTCTTGGAACTAAGCATAGTTCTTTCTACTTCTGTGCCCATTGGGCACAAATGCCATTGGAGAAGGAGGTAGTTGTCTGTGCTCTTGCCATGCAGCCCTCAGAACTTTCATTACTAGTTTTCCTGTGCCGTTCTCTGCAGCCGGAGCAAACATTTGTAGGTGCTTATTATATGTGAGGTTCTGTAGGTCCTTTACTGCCATTGACTCAGTCAAGTTCTTAACGATAACTTCGAAGGGTAGGAAACATTTACACAAGAAGAGACCAGATGAAAGGGTCCTAGAGAGAGCAGATATGAAATAAAGCCAGGGTTCAGACTGCAGTGTGAATGACAGGAGAGCCAGCATGGAGATGGATTATGACAGGGTGGCCACCATGACCTACTTCCTCCTCCTTTAAGACAATATTGAGTAAGGAAGTCAAGGAAGGCCTTTGAAGGATGATGCCAGACCACAGGAGACTGGCAGAGCATCACTCAAAGAGGGCTTTGTTCACAATCGTTGCCAATTTTACTATTCTTGTTTTGGGCCGATTCCTCAGCACGTGCACTCACTCAGGTTTGGCCAGCTGGCCTGCAGAGCTGTGCAGCATTCTTACTATGTAGAAAGGAGGTAGAGATTGGAAGGAGGAGACTCCTGGGCTTTCTGATCCAGGTTCATCCGTGAAGAGTCTGACAGTGGAGAGGAGAGTTACCACATTCTTTCTCTCCAGAATGCTTGGACTAGACCTGGTCGTGCGCGACGACAATGGAAACATCTTGGATCCTGATGAGACCAGCACCATTGCCCTCTTCAGGGCCCATGAAGTTGCTTCTAAAAGGATAGAGGAAAAGATCCAAGAGGAAAAGGTATGTTTCCTCCTAGGCGCAGGTTGGGCTGCTAGGATTTCATTTGTTGCTCTGGTTTTTAATGCCAATAAGGAGTAGTAGACAGTAGACATAGAAATGCCTGAAAAATCATGTGTGGCCTCATTGTAAAGCTGGGCAGGAAGAATGAGGCCAGCATCTATGCTCTGCTTTGGAAAGGGAAAAAATGCACAGGGGTGTTTGTATGTGTGTGTGTGTGTGTGTCTGTGTGTGTGTATAGAGTGACTCAGAACCATTTGTACTAAATAGAGTTTGTATTAAAAAATACATACAAAAGGGTATACATACACTTCAGTATTTGCATATGCACAGAGTAACTGGAATGGTAAATAAGAAAATACTCATTAAAAGATTTCTCTGGACTTGAGTTCAGTTCCCAGAACTCACATAGTGCTTCACAACCATCCATAGCTCCAGCTTCACGGTACCTGTGTCTGACCTCAGCAGGTACCAGGCATGCACATGGTACACAGACATACATACTCATTACACATAACATAAATATAAAGGGGACCCCAGGAAGGAGAACTGGGTAGAAGGACTTTTTATATTATAATCTTTTGTATTTGGTATAAAGACTGTGATTTCCAAAATAAAACTGTTTTAAATAACATGTTTTGGAAAGTTTTGAATACAAAGATAACTTTGAAAAGTGAAGAAAATCAGAAAAAGAGAGAGAGAGGGCAGCCATGTTCTGACCACCCTGACCCTGTGATGTTGACATATTCATCTGTTTTCTGTTTGGATGTGGAGAGATCTGTTTCTGTGTTTTTTTATTCTGGAGCACAGTTGTGATAATATGTGACAATCACACCGAAGGACAAAGTTTTCTCATGGAACCATTTGTGTCCCGTGAAGCTGGGTAGTAGTGGATCAAGTGTTTGTATTCATCTTCCTCCAGCATCCCGTCATAGGACAAGAAAGCATCACAAGTCTGCTGAGAACTGAGTTAGCACCTGTAGACAGCATATGTTTATTTTTTCATATGTATGTATGGGGTGTGCATACATGTAGGTATGTCTGTTTACACGTGTGTGGGCCCACATAAATATATACATGTGTATGCAAATGAGCATGCGAGCCGGAGGTTGGCATTGGGTGACTTCCTCTATGACTCTCCATTTTACTTACACAGGCAGGTTCCCTCACTGGAACCCAGAGCTTTCCAAGTCAGCTAGTCTAGCTGGCTGACTTGTTCCACGATCCCCTGTCTCTACCTCCTGTACGCACTGGGGATTTACGTGAACGTTAGGGATCCAAGCTGTGCCACTCATTCTTCCATAGCAAGCACTTTCTATGTCAAGCCATCTCTTGAGCCTCATAGAAAGCACTTATTGAATTGCTTGGGCTCAAGGCCCTGAGCAGGACCACTTTGGCTATCCACTAATGCTGATGCGTTCATTTGACTGAGGGATTATTGACTGGCCTGCATCTGCCCAGTTCTCAGCAAGTGCTTCTCTGTGGGTGTAGTAGCTGTCTCCTTGTTTGTAGGTTGATTTCTTTGCCAACATTTGCTCAAGTCTTTTCTCCTGTCCCCTGGCCCAGAGCATTTTGCAGAACCTGGACTTGCGAGGCCAGGCCATCTTCAGTTCTGTCCACACCTATGGCCTCTATGTGAACTTCAAGAACTTTGTCTGCAACATTGGTGAGGATGCGGAGCTGTTCATGGCCCTGTATGACCCAGACCAGTCCACCTTCATCAGGTAAGGGAGACCCGTGTCGTCAGAGCTTGGCTTTATCTGCCCCTGTCCAGGAGCCCTTCACAGGATTTGACACGGGGAGATGTAGAGGATGGGTGTAGTCACTCCTGACGGTAGAAGTAAAGACCTTTGGGCTCTGAAGCCTTTGTACTCGGGTGCTGGCACCACGAAGCTTCAGATTCCACCATCTGTAAGATTTTAATAGTGAATATAATAGCCAGGCAGTGTGGTGGCACACGCCTGTAATCCCAGCACTCAGGAGGCAGAGGCAGGTGGATCACTGTGAGTTTGAGGCCAGCCTGTTCTACAAAGTGAGTCCAGGACAGCCAAGGCTACACAGAGAAATTCTGCCACGAAAAACAAAACCACCACCACAACAAAAGCATGAATAAACCTGCTTAGGACGGAATGAAGAGTACAGAAGACCCGACAGGAGGAAGGAGAGAGTCGAAGTAGAACACAGCAGGGATTCACGGCCCTGAGATTGCGCTGTAGGATACCAACATGAAGAATGCTGGTCATTATGTTTGTCCAAGCCCGGGGAACGCGCTATACCAGCTGTGAGCTCTCAAAGCGGCTGTAGGCGGCGCGATGAATGATGATGATGATGTGTCCCTTCAGGTTCCACAGTTATGGGCGCATAGTTGGGGGCTGTGTGTTTGGGAACTCTGCTTTCAGCTCAACTCTGACCCATGAACCCAAAACTACTGGGGAAAAAAGTACTTTGCATAAAGAAAGTTTAAAAACTAGGGGGAATAGTCAGGGTATGGTTGGGCCCCAGAGTGACTCATTCACCAAGCCACTTAGGAAATGGAGCCTCATCTTCTAGAAGGTGGTGAAAAGTAATTACTGGGGCCTAGGCGTAGCTCAGCTAGTAGCGTGCTTGTGCTTGGTTAGCATTCACAAAGCCCTAGGTTCAATCCCCAGCATTGCTGGCAGCTGACTGTAATCCCAGAACAATAGAGGTGGAGGCAGAAGGGTCAGCTACATAGTGGGTTTGAGGACAGCCTGGGTAACATAAGACCCTTTCTCAAAAAGTGAAAATAGTTGCTGAGTTACTTGGGTGATACAGACCACGAAGGATGGATTGGGAATGACGTACAAAACTAAGCTTTTGTAAACGTGGCCTCTTGAGACATGGTTTCACTGACTATCTCAGGCTGGTCAATTTACTATGTAGCCCAGGCTTTCCTCAAATAACGACATAAAATAGTCTCCAGAGTACCATGATCACAGACCTGAGCCACCACGCCCGCATCTCTTAAAATTAAACTGTCTTTTCAGCAAAGTTGAAGCTTGCACGCCAGAAATTTGAGGTGGGATACAGACCCCAGGCAAAAGAAGCTTCTAAAATCCCAGGTCTGGGCCACTCTGAGCATCGTCGTCTGTCACTGTATAGGGTGTTCCCCAAAGACAGAAGCCGCTGTGTGCGGTCTGTGTGCGGTCTGTGTGCCAGCACCTGCCTCACCAGGGGACATTCCTGCTCCTTGCAAGTCCGTGCTGTGAGCAGCGTCTGTCCCAGATGGCCTCTCATTAAGAGTAATTTTCTTTCTTTCTTTCTTTTTTTTTTTTTTCCTTTCTTTCCTGCTAGTGAGAACTACCTAATTCGCTGGGGCAGTAATGGGATGCCCAAGGAGATAGAGAAGCTGAATAACCTCCAAGCAGTGTTCACTGTGAGTCCTGCCTTCTTTGTACAAAGTTGTTGCATTCATTTATTGTCTATGTCTATGTCTATGTCTATGTCTATGTCTATGTCTATGTCTATGTCTATGTCTATGTCTATGTCTATGTCTATGTCTATGCATGTGTATGGGCGTGTCGCCACGGCACGAGTGTGTGGAGGTCAGAGGTCAATTTGCAGAAGTAGGTTCTTCTTCCACTGGGTAGGACCCGGGGATTAGAACTCAGGTCCTTAGGCTTGTCAGCAAGTGCCTTTATCCGTGGAATCATCTAACTAGCCCAGTCTCATACTCTGTCCCATCATTTTCTTACTGGATGAGTAGGGCCCAGGCATTTATTCACTTAGGGTAACACATGAGGTACCACATACTGATTTGTACACTTGAGACAGTCTGTGAATTGAGGGAGAGAAAGCGTGTTTTTGAGCAGCTTTTGTGCTGTGGAAAAGACAGACAAGTACAAACAGTGATGACACAAGTAGGTAAATACAAGCAGCATCTGCAACCCTGACTTTGCCAAAAGAGTGGCTGGGGGACGCTCATGTTTTAATTGTATATTTAACTTCTGTTTTCAATTTAGTTACATGCTTATTTCTTGGTTTTGTTATACCGAAAGATGTTTTCCTACTCTTATTTTTTAATTTGATTTTTGAGATTATGATATAATTACATTATTTCTCCATTGTCTTTTCTTCTTGCAGACCCCCCCCCTCCCCATGCCTCTCCTTGCTCTGTTTTAAATTCATGGTCTCTTTTTCTCGTTAATTGTTGGTACCTGCATATGTGTGTACTTAACTTTTCACATGTATGAGTGTGTGTGGTGTGTGTTTGTTCGCGTGTCCATAGTTCATATGCAGAGGTCAGAGGACAGTCTCTGGTATCTGTCCTCACCTTCCACATGGTCTCTTTGTTTGTCATTTCATAGACAAGGCTATTCTAGAGATTCTTCGGTCTCCGCCCTGCCCCCCTCCCCAGCCTTACCTAGGAACCCAGATGTGTGCTATAGTACCCAGCTTTACATGAGTTCTGAGCCTTTGGACTCAGGGTTAGATGGCAAGCACACTGAGCCTTCTCCCCGGCCCTGAGGCTTATGTTTTTAATAGATTGATTGGACACTGGCAGTGGGGCTCTGTGGTATGGCACAGCCTTAACAGGCACTTGGCCATGGGTTCAGTGCCTAGCACTGCAAAACACATAAATAGAAGAGCTTTAAGGAGGACACCGAAGTTGAAGAGAGTTCCCCATGCAGATGACTAACTGGAGGAAGAGCTTCCTGACCAAGGTCACGGTGAGGGCAAATGTGCTCCAGACCTGTTCTGAGAACCTTCCTCTGAGTAGAGGGTTCCTTGTGCTTCCCTCTGCAGGGCGCCTGACAATGCTTGAGGCTGGAAATGCACGAGGCTGTAATTTGGACCTGGCAACTGTTTTCCTCTTAGGTTGGACCTTTCTGAACTTCTCTGGCTTTTTCTTTAAGGACACACCCTGGGACCACCAGGGGCCTTAGGAAACCTTGATGAGTGAGTCCCTAGTTCCCCCGTCTTCTTCCCTTCTCCCATCAGCCCACACAAGTGCTTCATCTCCTACCTTTTCCCGGTCCAAGACTGGGAAAACTGGCCTAAGTTCCAGTGGCACCTAGCCACTTGTCTCCATGTCCTCGTTGACCTTCCTCAGTCTAGGATATGCCCAGGCTTCTCTGTCTCTCCGTAGAGCCATTCCTATCTCTCTACCCCTGTAAACGCAGGTAAAGAACTTTCTGACATCTCCCCCCAGACTTTAGTATTTGCTCAGTTTTGAAACCAAGTGAGGTTTTGTTTTGTTTTGTTTTGTTTCCTGCAATCAAATGGTGTTTTTTGGATCATATTTTATATATTAAAGGCACTGTTAAATATTTGGTCTATCATTTAGTTAGTTTTGACTTAGTAGAGCTGCAATTGCTCTTTTTTTTTTCCTGCCCCCACATCCTTTCCCAGCCAGCCAGCCAGAGGGTCATCTAGTATGTAAATTTCATGTCTAGCCTTTTCAGTTAAATAAAGTGTGGTGGCCATTTCCTTGGTCATTAAACAGTCTTCAGAACTCACTTATAAATGGCTGTGTTATTTAATGATACCAACAAGCCAGGTTTCTAGAACCTGCCACCCAGTGACTTGTATTCTCTATTAATGGAAGCTTTGCAGAACCTCAAGCAGAGATTGAGGGCAGGTGGTCACTGGTATATATATTGCTGTCTCAGTGATGTGCCTCTACCAAATTACAGGGCGTAGATTTGGAGTGATTATTTGAAGAGTAATTCTTGATTAAGTAAGGAGGCTGGGGCTGCGGTTTCCTAAAAGGGTTCTGAGATATAATGAAGTTGTTTTTGATGTTAAGTGAATGAGATATGTAAGCTCATTTCTGGGTCACTCACCCCTCCTTAAGAAAACACACACATACACACACACTGTAGCCTCAGCTACAAACAGGAAAAATCCACTTTCCTCCATACACATGCCTCTTGCAGTGTTCATGGAGAAAGCCTCTCAGGGTGCAGGTGAGGAAGCTCATAAAACCATGCCTAGGTTACACTTGCCTTCAGGGTTGTTAGGAAGGTGAGAAGGGGGTAAGGAGGGATGGGTTAAGGGGTTGAACACACCTGTAATCCCAGCACTTGAGAGGTGAAGGCAGAAAGATTTGGAGCTCAAGATCAGTCTTACACAGCAAGATCAAGGCTAGCCTGGGCTCTCCCAGGCATCTGCAGATGCTCAGTGAATGTTAGCAACATGCAAGTTTTTATGTCATTGGACACTGAGGCATACGGTAGAAGGACCCAAAGTGTCAGAGAGTGTCCTGGTTTTTAACTCCTTGCACACCTTCCTACCTGTTAGATGTTAGACTGACTCTGATCTAGTCTACAAACGTGGAGTAGGGACCAGAGAAGAGAAGAACCCTGTTTTATAGACAAACAGAGAATAATCATCTCTGTTGCTGCAGTAGCTCTCAGAAGGGCGGATAGAGAGGCATTGCCGTGGTGTTTCAGCATGGGTAAGTGTTCTCTGAGCAGGACAGGGCAGCCAACTTCTCTCATGCCTTCTCTGCCTGCAGGACCTCAGCAGTACGGACCTCATCCGACCACGCATCAGCCTCGTGTGCCAGATTGTCCGGGTGGGCCGCATGGAGCTGAAGGAGGGCAAAAAGCACACCTGTGGGCTACGGAGGCCTTTTGGAGTGGCAGGTACAAGGAAAGCCCAGAGTCTAAGGGAAACAGACAGCTTCTGGGGACCCTCTGCCATGCAGTTTCTAGAAGACCTAAATGTAGACCCATTGTCTGATCCCGAGTTCAGCCAAAATCCCATTTTGGGCATATTCCCCCAAAAATTGAAAAACAAGGTCTCAAAGAAACACCATGTTTACAGTGAATAATTATTCACAAGAGCTGAAGGGGACTACGTCACTCAAGGGTGCCTCAGTAGATGAGTGGATGCATAGATGTGGCGTGTCCATGGAAAGGTTTTATGCAGCCTTAAAAGGGAAGGAAATTCCGCCTCATGCCACCATATGGCTGGCCACTGAGAACATTAAGCTCAGTAGAATAAACCATACACAAAACAGCCTGCTGCTGTAGGGTTCATTTTAGATGAGGAACTTACAAGAGTCAGGTTCAGCAAGGCGGTTGACTGGGATTGCCAGGGCATGAAGACAGGGGAATTGCTCATTGAGGATGGAGTTCTCTTTGTTAAAATGAAAGTGTCCTGGTGGTGGATGACGGTGATGGTTATCCAAGGTCAGTATGCTTACTTCCACTGAACTTGAGTATTGAGTAGTTAAGGTAGCAATTTCCATGTAAGGTGTATTTTGCTGTACTTATAGCAATGAAAAGAGATAGAGCAAAGAAGGTAGATGGCTGGCTGGAGGGCAGACAGAGATGGCAGGAAGGCCTTCTAAAGGTGAGAAGCAAATGGATCAAGTCTTTGTGGTTGGTCTTTGGCAGGCCTACATGACATTCATACCCCAGGATAGCCAGTTCTCTTTCCTTGAGTCTTGTGTCCTCGTGTAGCCACTGATCGTTTTTCGTCTTTGGGGCCCAGCACCATGTGTCACGCACAGTAGGACTGCTTGTTAGCATGTGCTCTGCTGCTCTGATCCACGGCAAAGTCTTTTCCCTGGCTAGGAGTGTCACTTCTGAAAGGCTGCTTTGTGCCACTGAGGGCCTTCCAAGAGGGTCCTTAGCTTAAGTCAATCCTCAGGACTTCCCAAGAAGTTCCATATCTTTGTATGTAGTTTCCTAAATTTCAAGAATAGATATTTGGGCTTTTATTGGCGTTTGATTGTTTTTTTTTGAGACACAGTCTCATTCTGTAGCCAGCTGGCCTGGAATTTACAGAGGCACTCCTGTCTCAGCTTTTCAAGTACTGAGATTATGGGTGTTATAGCTACCTTGCCCAGCATTGCTACTGTATCAAGAATTAAAGTGGAGTCTCAAGAGGTACAAGGAACCCAGGTCTCTTTAGTAGACCTCCACATGGCAAGGTAAATGTATTTATTTGCCTATAAAGGAAAGATGGATTAGAGGTCACTGCCACTCATAATAGGCGATGAGACTAAATCTTAAACCCGAGGCTTTGTCTGCTTTTCTGTATTGGCGTACATGTGTGTGCATGGGAGTAGAGGAGAGAGTGTGTATCTGGGTATTAATAGAATGAGAAGAGGACTGATTCGTTCTCAACCTTAACGCCAATTGTTAAGCAAGGTTAAGCGTCACAAGATGGTGACAGACACTAACAAATGAGTTTCTTGGTTCTTGGTGCTGTTTTTTATAAGGTTCTGTTAGGGGAACAGCAAGCTGCGTTTGATGCCCAGCTGTGCCCACCTTCCCAGCTGGCGCCAGCATCATCCCCTGGCCTGGTGGAGCGTGTTGTCTTAAGCATGTTTCTCAGTACTTTCTTCTCTTGTCTCCAGACAAGCTCTCTGGGACGTGGAAAAATGGATTGCTAATGTGTGTTTTATGGCCAGACTGTAATTTATTAACCAAAGTTTCACCTCTTACCAAGGCCCTGCCTCATGTCAGCTATCAGCTTTGCAGCTTTTTATTAATCCTCTACATAGCTGGGCATAGTGGTTATGTGATTTGGCTTTGTGGTCACTGTTAATTCATATCCTGGCTTTGCTAAAAACTTAAAACTAATTGTGCGGATGTGGGCTCAGTGCTACCTTGTTTCCCTGGCATGTGCAAGGCCCTGGGTTAAATCCCAGCACTGCAAAACAAAACAAACAGAACACATAAACACAGCCAATGATAGGAACACAGCTTGTGACCAAAATAAGTTAACCCTTCCCATTCCTTAAGGTGGGGTTCCTCACGGCTCTGTACATGAGATAATGGATGCAGCAGGCTTACCACCTGGCTTTATTGAAGTACTCTCCTGGGATGGGTTTGGGGGACCAATTACTGGTGGTCTGTTTTCCAATACTCTTAATGCTGGTGTAGAAACCAAGAGTGTATCAAATCAGAGACACAGGTGGCCGCTTCACATCTTCAGTTTCTCTCCAGACCTTTAATTCTTCTGACAGGCCTGCTGGAAATGCGTATTCTCTGTGGCTTTCAGTGAAGGCTTATCCAAACAAACAAACAAACAAACAAAAAAAAAATTGGGCTTCAGTTTCTCAGGAATATAGCAGCTCAGTCTTGCAGAGTTTTACATATGTGTCCTGCAGGGTTGGATATATTTTTCTGAGCCTTTCATGGCTTGTTGCCCCGCCAGGTGTGGTATATTAGATAATTATTTTTGCCTGGTCCCTGGTCCCTTTTTTTTTTTTTCTTCTTCTTCTGGAGTTCTGGGTTTACTGATAGCATCCTTTTCTATACAGCTCAGGGAGGCATGAAGCCATCAGTGTTTCTAATGACGTTTCTCTCTCTCCTAGTGATGGATATTACTGACATCATACATGGGAAGGTGGATGATGAAGAAAAGCAGCATTTCATTCCCTTTCAGCAGTGAGTATCTGGCCTTATCCCTGGTGGCTTGAGATACAGGGTAGCCATTCTAGTGGGACGTGGGTGCAGAAGCGGGAGGGAAGAACTATTTCTGTTACCAGGGAAGGAAAGGTGTTTCCGCTGAACGGCTTCACCCGAGACCTCTGCAGGAGACTTTATTCGGGGGCTTCATGCTGGACTCAAAGAGGGTAAAGTGAGCATTTCCTGACTCAGCAGAAATAATTGGAGGGATATAAAACAAAGGACGCACTGGCATCCAGAGAATGATGTCATTCTATTGTCAGAGAGGCCACAGTGTATCTGTCTTCTGTTGTGCTGAACAGGTGTGACTAAAGATCACAGGACTTCTCAGACTAGGTGATGTCTATGGATTGTCAGGGCAGCCTTGTTAGAGTGGACAGTTCCTCTGGTAGGTATGACTGCATCTGACAAGCTTCTGAGTATTGCCAGTGGCGCTGGTCCAGGGAGCACACACTCATAGTAGCAAGGGGTTACCGTAGAAAGATAAATTGTTCTTTCTGTATTAATTAATGCAGGAAATTATTACAACATCAGTTTTCTTTAACTAGCTAGTTCCTTAATGGCAGACACACAGAGATTATGATTTATTTTTATGCTGGGCAGATTCTGATCTACCCAAATCCTAGTAAGCCAATCAGCTGCCTATCTGAGGACTCCTGGGGCGGCTTCTGCTCCATTAATCTGTTCCTACAGCTACAAGCTCATAGCCATCCCTCTTCCTGGCTTCCTCTCTCCTGCAGCTGTTCCACCTTCCCCTTCTCCTCTTCTCTCTTGAACCCAAGCCTGAGAACCTAAAACCCCACCCACCCCTTTACTGTCCAGTCATAGGCTTCAGCATCTTTATTGAGCTGATCAGGGAGAGTCGGGGACCATTCCTTATCATCACATGGTTGTCATCGTGGCAGGGTGGTAACCAGATCTCAAGGCACTGAAATCAGCATTTGCAAACACAGTTGAGCCTTCCTCCAACAGGCTAGGCAGGCAGGAGGAGTGTGAATGGCTGGTTATGGTTCCTGCAAGGAACTAGGAGAGCCGGTGTGGTAGTATAGGGCCGTATCAGCTCAGAACTTGACCCAGAGCTCTATGCTGTAACTCCAGTGGATCAGATGTGCTCTTATAGGTCCTCCTGCAGACAACTCCATACACGTGGCAGTCACCCAGACACACAGGCATACACGTAAATAAAAATAAATCATATATATAGGTACATACATACCAATCATATTACAAGTGGGTGGGAAGACACAATTGTAGAAGAGAAATACTTTTTTAAATCTTAGCTCATTGTTAAGAAGCACAAGTCAGCTTGTGTGGTGGTGGCGGCACACGCCTTTAAACCCAGCACTCGGGAGGCAGAGGCAGGCAGATCTCTGAGTTCAAGGCCAGCCCAGTCTACAGAGCGAGTTCCAGGACAGCTAAGGCTACCCAGAGAAACCCCATCTCGAAAAACCAGAGATAAAAGGATAGAAACACAGGTCAGTGAGCACTAGCATTACAACATATAGCAACAGAGACTCGAAATAATGAAGCATATAACTGAGCAGCTTCAAAAATGTAAATTCCACAGGACGATAGCAACCACATATAATAGTGAGCTCTGGAAAGCTATTTTCAAGTCACATATCAATATTTTCAAGCAAAAATTTAAAAAAAAAAAAAGAATAATTGTTGGGCTAAACTCTCCCCCATTTTTAACTTATATATAAGGAAAAATAACTTAAGAAAATATTTGCAACAAATGTTAGAAAAATGCCCTTGGTATGCATATAGAATTAATAGAGACTAATGAGGTTATAGAAAGGAAATAAATACACAAATGGTATATGCAGGTTCGTAAAGGATCAGTGACACTCAGTTTAAACCAGTTTGGGGCTCGACCAGGTTTTAAAAGTATATTAGGCATCCTTTCGATGGCTGAAGGGAAACCCGTATTACCCATCTGTGTATACACTGTGACAGCACGCTCAGCAGGAAAAGGCACCTGCCACTGGGCAGCTCAGTTCAGTCCCCAGGTCCCGCCATGGTGGAAGGAGAGAACTGACCCACACAGGTTGTGCTCTGACCTTCACGTGAGTGACCTGTGACCTGGTACACACCACTCACAACCACACACGAATCCATACAAAACACATTAAAATGCACAACTAAAAATGTTATGCCTTAAGTTTTAGGTTCTATGGAGGATGTACCACCCAAATATTTGCTGCTTGATAGGAATTACCTGAAAACTTGGGTATCGTGAAATACTGCCCTGTACATATATGCACGCACATAAATGCACGCACACAGTATGTGTCGCTTAATGAGGGGGCATGGTCTGGGAAATTTATCTTTAGGCAACTTGTATCTTTGTGTCAACATAATAGGGTATATGTCTATAAAGTAAGGTAGCTGCAGTGTCACTCGGGGACCACCATCAAGTATGTGGCTTCTCATAGGTGACTGAAATGTGGTTCATTTCAGTGTGTGTTATGTGACATACATAAGTATGTTTACACATAGATATTAGATAAATTTAATTAATCATCAATATATGGAATTGAATTTATACATGTATTAAATATAATATATTAATCAGATAAAATATATTGAATAAAATAGTTTGTCCCAGTGGTGTATGCCTGTAATCCCAGTTACTTAGAAAGCTGAGGCAGGAGGATTATGAATATAAAGTCAGCCTATGAAGCATAGTATGACATTGCCTAAAAACAAACAAACAAACAAACAAACATTTTCTATAGAGACAGACAAATATCATAAACATAACATGTACACATATAACTTTCATATCCACAAATACTACTACTTTTTCTCATAAATATAACCATATCAAGATCTGCATTCACAAAGAAAACATATCTGAAAAATTCCTTTCTTCGTATTCAGCTTTTTGATAGTCTTCTCCTTCAGTGTCTTGCCTCTGCCCAACTTCTGGACCACTATCCATGTGGTGGCAGTGAACTCTGAGATGGTCCCACTGCAGAATAGCACATGCTTCCATTAAGGTCCCCAAGGAGCCCAGCCCTGATTTGACTACCACCCAGTGGACAGCAAATAGCCCCTGTATTAGTGATGTTCATGTTCCCCTATCCTTGTTCTTTTCTAAGCTGCAGTGGCTTATATATGTGAATTCTGTTAGTCCACCTGGGGAAATTCATCCAAAGGAGCCAGCTGCCCAATAAGAGCCCGTGTTGCAGTGTGTCTTATCATCAGATAAAAGGATGTACACAAAGAAAGCAGCCTGGTAGGCAGAGAAGGCTAAAGACTATTGTATGGCAACAGGATGATATTGCATTGGTGATGGCAGCTTTAAGAGAATCGGGATTATGTTTGGCCCTTTGACCTCTCACCTTTGTGGACCTCACCTGATAGGCTAATTCAACTGGATCTCTTTTGCTGATTGGCCATTGCAATCCTGAATTTAATGTCATTGAATGTCTCAAAACGGCTTCCCAGTTGTCCTCCACACATACTGTATCCGTGTAACAAACGGTCACGAGGATGTGGGCCTCAGAAGGGCATAGCATCCGGCAGAGTACGCTGTCAGGTGGAGCTGGAGCCAGGAGCCAGATCTCCTGTCCTTTGGCTCCTCCTTCAGTCCCATCCCAGCAGCCAAATCTAAGAGTTTGAACATTGCCCCTAACTTTTACTATTTAACTTGTCCTTGATCATTACCCTGAACTTCAGCTGTTTAATACTTGTTTCAGACTCCCACCTTTTTATTTGCCATGTCATTTCCACAATATGTTTAAGAAGAGGAGGTGGAAAGACTGTGAGAGCGAGAGAATTGGGGTGTTTGCTGTGAGACTGTGTCTCCTCGTAGTTACATGAGATGGCCCCTAAGGCCTCATCAGCAAAACTACCTGAACATGCTGAACAAGGACAACACCAAAGAACTAAAGGGAGCTGAGGAAAACTGGGGGCCACAGGTAGTTTCTCTAGTGCCAAATGGCCAGCCTTAAAAAACATACAGGTAACCTTATATGGACTGAACAGGGTGTTAGAAGGAATATATATATATATGTATATTATATGTATATGTATATACAGTTATTGCATGCAATAATATTTAGTGAAAAAAGAGGCCATGGATTTGAAGGAGAATGAGCATGGAGGGGTATATGAGAGGATTTGGAGGGAGAAAATGGAAGAAATATTGTAATTATAATCTCAATATGTGTATGATGCGCGCGCGCGCACACACACACACACACACACACACACACACACACACACAGGCACATTCAATGGAAGAATGAAGGGAAGAAAGTGCCAGGGACAAAATTTCAGCAGTTTACTTAGCTGGCCTTACTTTTCATTGTTATGATGTAGGATTGGGCAACACTGGGTGCCATAAAACAGAGTAAGTGTCCTAGTGAGCCAAGCAGAGGAGATTGGCTTGTAGACAAAAGCAGACAGCAAACACAAGGTTACTCACTGCAGAGTCACTGTGCTCTTATGGCAGGGACAGAAGACAGAAGGTAGCTAGCTGGCGTGTCGGCTTCTGCTCAGGTTTGTAGATAACCTTTTGGGGTGGGCATACTGGCCGAAGCCAGCATCTTTGGGGGAGCTAAGCTGTTCTCTCTCTCCGTGCTGTGGTCTTGGAAGGTATATATTCCACTTGGCCTCTGCTGCATTGGCACTGTGGTAGTGCCTCCATGTTGACTTTAGCCTGGTCTGTTGTGGGCCCATGCTGGAACTTTACCCAAAATAATGATTTCCTGTCATTTCTGTTTGACATCAGAGCCCTCTGGTGAGATGTTGCAATCACCTTTCCAGATTGCTCCCACAAGACCTCCGTGCTCTCAGGGCACACATCAGAGACCTTCTCTACTTCTGGCTTTCTCCTTACTTCTCCTGTCTTCCCCAGAATTGCCATGGAAACCTACATTCGCCAGAGACAGCTCATCATGTCACCCTTGATAACCTCACATGTGATTGGAGAGAATGAGCCACTCACTTCAGTTTTAAATAAAGTGATAGCTGCAAAGGAAGTGAATCACAAGGGACAAGGTACATGTCTGCCCTGGGCAACGGGGCTTTGGCCGGGGAGGGAGGGACCATCCCAAGCAAAGTCCCCGAACTGCATGTTTGCCTTCTCTTCTGATTCCCCTGGACACTGCCCTCCTCAGGCATCTCCTCCTCAAACATTCACCCTTCCTAATGGGATCAGGAAGTTCTGTGGGACAGACATTTTTCCCATGAGTCTCTTCGTCTACCCTCTGTTCCCAGTGCCACCTCAAAGTAAACATGCCATTGTTTTCTGAAACTAGAAGGAGACAGAAGCAATAGAAACTCATTATGGGTTAAAATGAACTTAGACACTACCTTGCAAAGCTTTTAGATTTTCTCCGGAACCTCCATGTGATCTGTCTTTTGATAGCTTCGGCTAAGAGAAAAATCTGTGAAAATGTTTCTAATCCAAGCATTAAGGAAAAGTAGTTGTTAGAACATTAAAAGTCAAATGCCAAGATGGCAGCCAGACTTGAAAGATGTCCTCGGTGGCGTCACGTCTTCTCACCACCCTATAACTGTTCTTTACAGTGAAGGCAATCGGGAAAACACCATTTTTCAGGATGCTTGGTTTCTCACATGGTCACAGTTATTCAGGCAGAAAGAGATATAGGCAATAAATAATCTGAAGACAAATAACTAATCCTCCCCTCCTTTTTGCATGTTTGTGTGTGTGTGTGTGTGTGTGTGTGTGTTTACATATGAGTGGACACGTGGAGAATGCTTATGGAGACCTGAGTCTCACTGTCTCAGCTAGTCTATCTATCTAGCTTAATCTGGAAATTCCATCTTCGCCTTTTGAATACTGGAAGTACAGGTTGGCCTTCTTGCCTGCCGGTGGTTTGCTGGGGGTCTAAACTCAAGTCTTTCAGGCTTGCACAGCGAAAGCTTTACATTCGTAGCCATCTCCCCACTCCCTGCTTTTCAGATCTTGTAACTTAAAAATATAATTTTGATTAGAGTAGAACATTCTTACACTAATGAGATTACTGTTTACATATGATTTCGTTTTTGGAACAAAATGGGAAACAGTGCCATTCTTTTCTTGCTACTGAACAGAACAAGCCCTTTTCAAAGGTCTTTTTGTTCACCACAAATATCTTTTGTGTGTGTGTGTGTTTGTGTGGTTGTATAACATTCTAGTGTTAAAAATGCTCAGAGCCAAATTTTTATCAAATTTAATTAATATTTTGATTGGGTTTTGTTTCTCTTTGACAGTTGAGCAATACTTCATTCCATAAAGTAGGATTAGTTTTCTGACAGGCTTAGCAGGAGAGCTTGGGTTTAGAGAGAGAAGAAAAGAAAGGTAGGAAAGAAAGAAGGAAGGAAGTAGGAAAAAGCAGTTGGTTGCAGCCATTAAGGAAACCAGTCAGATTATTTTTAACATAATTGGTGTGAAAGAAGGGCAGCATCATTCTGTGGCTTGCAGGGGCCTGTTTAGACATCTGGCTATTATCTTTGTCTCCTGACCTCTCAGATAACAGCCTGGTTTCCTTTTAAAGTTTGAGCAGAGTGACCCCATTTTAACATCTAGTCTGGTGGGGGTAGGACTGTGGTCCAGTTCCTTGGGTTGGCACCAAAGTATCTATTAGCTGCTCAGTACTGTAGATTGAAGCCACCCTGCTGTGACTCTTTCTGTAGGGAAGCTTTCTTCATGTTTAGGACCGCTGCTCAGGAATTCTCAGGGGTGGGACTTCTGGGTCAGTGGTGGGAACAAGCTTCAGCCAGATGTATGGTACTGAGTTGCCTGTCCTTGGCCTCAGAGTGTTCGTCCTGCATGCCCTCCCTGTGTGCAGGGTGCCAAGTACACTGTGGTTCTTGTGTATTTGGATAAGCACCTTGAGTCTGCATTACCTAGCAGACATATGAGTTTCCCAGTCTCCCGTCTCAGATTTTTTTAAGGAAGATAATTATTCTTCTATCTTCTTTAAGACATAGTTTTCCAGATTTTGGTTTGCAAAGCATCTGTGAACTTCTGCTTCTCCATGTTTGTGAATTCATGTCATATTTCTTTGTGAGGCTCTTCCTCACCAAGATTCTTTTGTAGAGCTTTACATTTTTTTGCATATCAAAACTTTCAGTTTATATGTAGATAATTATTTTGCTTTTAGAATTTGTTTCTGCAGTTTAAAAAATGATTAATTCTGGGGCTGGTGCGATGGCTCAGGAGTTTAGAGCACTTACTGTTCTTGCAAAGGACCTGGGTTCAGTTCCCAGTTCCCAGCATCTCACACCATCTGAAACTCCAGTTCTAGGAGATTCTGATGGCTCTTCTGATCTCCTGGGGCACCAGGTATGTGTGCGGTACACAGACATACATGCAAGCCAAACACTCACATGCCAAAGGTAAACATAAATAAATCTTCTACTTTTCAGACATTTAATAGCTATTCCCTTTTTTCCTTTCAATACCCTCTTTATCCTGTTTATTTCTTTATTATCTTAGCAATTTACCTTAATTAAAATAGAAGACATTAAGTTGCTTCTGTTTTAAGTAGCAAGAAAAATATTTTTCAAAATTAGTTTTTGAAAGATAGGTATTTTTAATTTTTTTTTGTGTGTGTGTGTGTGTGTATATATAATGTGTGTTTGAGTATCTGTCATATGGATGGGCACCTACAAAGGCCAGAAGAGGGTACCAGGTTCCTTGGGGGTTACAAACAATTGTGACCTGCCCAATACTGATGCTGGGATTCAATGTCAGGTCCTCTAGAAAAGCAGCAAGAGTTCTTAATCCTAGGTCCATCTCTCTAGCCCCATCTTGAGATTCATGATTTGCTCTGCCTCTGCCATCACTTATGAAAGTGCCATGTGTTGTACATGCAATCCCACAGTTTCCATTGATGTGTGTCTCTTGTCTGCCACCGCTGCCACATAGGGTTAGACTTAGAACAGACATATTTGGTATCAAGTAGGATAATCGTCACTCATTTTCTTCTCCACTGTAAGCCTGCTGACTTCTCAAGTAAGTCCTCTTGTGAGTTTGAAGGAAGCGTCATTAATGGTACCCTGGGAGGACCGCGTGTCCATCACGAGGTGTCTGGTTGCTCTCACGCAAGCTTCCCCGTGGATGCTGCAGAGACTGTACGGAGAACTGGAAACTTCTCCCTCTTTTTCCCTTTCAGGTCTTTGGGTGTCCTTAAAGTTATTGCCAGGGGACCTCACGCAGGTTCAGAAGAACTTTTCACACCTGGTGGACAGATCAACAGCCATAGCTCGGAAAATGGGCTTTCCAGAAATAATCCTGCCAGGTACACGCTAGTCTTGTTTTGTGTTTCTTTTCCGTGTCTGAAGGAGGATTAGCTGTATCTGGACAGCTGAGGCGATCTGGATTCCTAAGAGGATGTCATTTAGGGTCAGTGGCATCAAGCAACCGGTGATAGGGCGTTGAAGCGTAATGGGCAGAACCACGAAAAGGCCTTTATCTCAGCGTGCTCTTTCCCATCCTTTTCTGCACAGACGCTTCCCCCAACATGACTTCCTTCTCAGGTGGCAAACTGGTGGCCCGGTGCCTTCTGTCCAGGAGAATACCTCATTGAGCACCTTTTTTCCTCATGTCGTTATCCACCTCTGGCCCCTGTGCTCAGCTCCATCTCTGCGAGATCCCCTGTCTGATTCCCCTGAACTCTGACTGAGTATTGCTCATTCCATTCCGCACATTCCTCTTTCTTGCTCTGTTCTCGTCCTTGTTGCCACATCTTGGTGACCTGCAGTTGCATTCCCATGAGTTCACTGACCTCACCCACTTAATTCTCTAATATCCGTAGCAGACAAAGGGAAACATATTCTGATTAATAGTCATGGACTAATTGGTATTGATGAGGCTTGTGGAAAGCCAGTCACATCACATTTGAAAAGCTCTAGAAAACCGACTTGCTGTACACTGCATGAAAACAGATTATTTTGAGAGTAATTGGGATTTTTTTTTTTTTTCATCTTCAAGAAGTTAGTAGTAGGTTTTTACACATACAAACCATGACAATGAAGGGCGGTTTCATGAATACTCACAAAACAAGTAAGTCAGCATTTCAAGAAAAGGTGGCTCTTGTGTCTTCTTTTCTCCTAAGAGCAAGTTCATCCGCTGCAGGCTGTTCTCACCAACTACATGTTTTCACCAGCATTTAGGGGAAAGGTTTTTGCTTTTTTATTGTTTAGTTTTGTTTTCGAGAAAGGGTCTGCCAATGAGGCCAGGCTGACTTGCAACTTGAAGCAAGCTCTCTGCCCCATCTGGTTGCTTAGAACGACAGCCATGCGCTACCACACCCAACTGTCTTACTGTTCAAACGAGTAACCGTCGAAAATATTCTCAGCCTTACTGTTAGGCAAGACAGGAATCAGAAAACAGAGAAATTCGTTTTCTAGACAAGTTGGCTTTATCTTAGAAATATTCGAATACTTTTTATCAGCAGGGTTGACTCAGAACACCAGAGCCAAAATGGCCTTTAAAACTCCATCTAGGGCGGGGGTTTTTATGCTGTTCTGTGGAGCTCAGTAAGATCACTTCAGGAACTCTACAGTACAAAAGTGCATGGGTTCAAGATGTCACTCAGTGGTGGAGCGCTTGTTCAGCATAGATGAGGCCCTGGCCTCCCTTCATAACACTGAAGTGGAAGAAAGGAAGGAAGAAAGAAAACAGAAAAAGACACTGCCTGGCTTGATCCAGTGGTGTCTGCCTGCCTGCCTGTAATCAGACCACTGTAGAGGCTGAGTCATAAGGATCACAAGTTAGAGGTCAGCCTGGCTGACACTGTGGAGTGGTCCTTCCCTCCTCTGAATGTTGTCTTCCCTCCTCACTAGGGATACCACCCACTCTTTGGTCCATTTCCCTGGGGCTTCCTGCAGATTCCTTCTGTTTTCCCTAGGCAGTTTTCAGTGTCTAGTCCTTAGGCCCTGTTGTGGTAGCTGAGGGCTTTCTTGATAAAACACCATAGGAAAGCACCTGTGATAGTAGAGATTTGTTCTTTCATGTTTCTGGAGGCTCCATATTCAAGACCGAGGTGTCTGCATGGATGAAACTCCCTAGGCTTGCAGGCAGCCGTTTTCTCTCCTCTGAGTCTGTGTTCTCATATTTTTTTTTTTTTCTAAGTACATCGGTCCTATTAGAAAATGACCCAATTTCACTTTAATTACCCTTTAAACAAATGTTCTGTCTCCAAATACAGGCATTCTGAAGGATTGGGCTTCAACATATGAATAAAGGGAGGCCCAGTTTAGCCCATAATAGATTGGCTTTCCTTGTCAACCCTACTCTGCCCCTGATAGCCTGTACTCACTTGACTTGCATCTGTCAGTTATCTTTTGTCCCCATCTTTACCACAAGACTCCCTTGGACTTTAGTCCATCTAGCCATCTCCTTCCTTCATCAAGACCCCTGCATTCTCTTACCACCCCAACTAGATCATGCTGTTCTTTTCTTCTGACCAATTATTCCTTTCTCAGTGTTCACAGTGCGACTACCTGTGCCTGTGAGTGTATTGCTGGTGTTCCTGGGTTGTGTGTCCTTGGGAATCATGCTCACATCCAGCCAGCTGTATGATCAAGAAGCCTGGAAGACATTATAAAACTCTTGGATAGCCTAGCAAAATATGATATTATATGCTTACTATCAGACATGTATTCCTAAATGAAACAAAGAACTATCATTGAAAAGAATTGGAACCCTGAGGGGGCTTAGTGGATAAAAACTCTTACCCTACAACCTGGATGACCTGTAGAGCCCACATAAAGAAGCCTGTTGCAGTGGCTTATCTCTGTGATCCAGACACGCCTACAAGATGAGAGACAGAGGTAGAGACAGGTGAATCGCTTGGAAGCTTGTGAGTGCAGCGCAGCGGTAGAAAGAACAAGAGAGCTACTGCCTCAAAAACAAGGTAGAAGGGGAAAACCGACTCCAGAAAAGTTCCTCTCCCACCTCCACACTCATGCTGCGGCATGCACGTCCATACGTATTTGTGTACACACTAGTTTTTAAAGAGGTGATTTTTACAAGATGTGCACATTGAAGATGTGGCGGTATGTTATGAAAGATAGACTGAGAGAGCAGGGAAAGACTTGTGTGGAATAAATAGATCGCTACCACCAGACCGTTTCATACTTAGCTTCTCTTTTGTGTGTTATATGATGAAGCTTTGAAATGAGCTCTCCCTGTGGCACTCACAGGAGGCTTGTCCTGTTACAGGGGATGTGCGAAATGATATTTATGTCACCCTGATCCACGGGGAGTTTGACAAGGGGAAGAAGAAGACACCCAAGAACGTGGAGGTGACCATGTCTGTGTTTGATGAGGAAGGCAACCTTTTAGAGGTATGCAGTAGCATCCCCCACAAATCCCACCACCCATCACACCTGCTCTTTCACACTGGCTTTGTGGTAGCAGCCGACTGCCAGTCCCACATACTGTCAACATTCCCCATATCGGGGGCGAGGTTCTTCTTTTCAGGGGTTTTGTTCATACGTGATTTGTTTCTGTTTTTTTTAAGAAAGGGTCTCACTAAGTAGCTGAGGCTGCCTCAAACTTGTGTTCCCCTCTTCCTCTGCCTCCTGGGTACTGAAATCAGTGCTTCCTCATAAAGAAAAAATATATAAAACTTGATAAACCTGTGGCTTTCAGTGTCCACTCTAACTCCTGGAGCCATTTAGATTTATTTTGATATTTCCCCTGTGCAGGGGTATAGCAGGCCGTTTAGTTTAAGCTGTAGGATCTCAGATTCTTTGATGTTGTATGGCTACTCTGAGCTTGATCACAGTGGCAGAGATGTCCCAAAGGCCTTGCAAGGTGCACTGCCATCACCTGAGCAGGTGGAGCCAATGAACACCTACCTGAAGGAGCTCCTTTTGAACTTGTATGGCAGAATTCTGGCCAGACAAGCAAGGACATCTTGACTTCAGAGGGTCGGGAGGCACTGGTTTTTGGGTTGGAGGCCTCAGTAGCCTCCACCTAATTGTTTTGGAATGTACAAGTCAAAGTCTTGGCTCCTGAAAGCTCTCTAGATGTCCTGGAATGATACTCTCCAAATACGCAGTCCTTCCTCTCTGTCATTCAACCATTATGTTTCTTTAAGAGCAGAAAAGCGTGCATGTTAGTAAAAACCCTGCAGGTCACGGCATGTAGTCCTTGGGGCTGAGGGGACCGAGGAGGCGTTTGCTGATGTCACGTGGGATGACTGCGTGCCCAGTGTGGAGTGTACCTGCTGTCACGTGAAGTCCCCCAGCGCAGTGTGGATGAGTGCTGCTAGGCTCTTCTCAGACCCACCACGCCTCTGATTCTCAGTTGGATTTTTGACATTTCCTGTTGCTGTATTTTTCATGACCTAGTATTGTCTCCTAATTGTGTCTTTCCAACCAAAGAAAGCCATTCATCCTGGTGCTGGGTACGAAGGTGTCTCGGAATACAAGTCAGTGGTGTATTACCAAGTCAAGCAACCTTGTTGGTATGAGACAGTCAAGGTGAGAACTCTGTTTCTAAGTCCTCCGGCTGTTGACTGTTGTTTAGATTCCTGTCTACACTTTAAATCCCAGTTTCTTCTTACCATATCTGGAAGAGATAAACAGGAGAGGGGTTGAGGTAGGGTGGGGTATAATCAAAATACATTGTATGAAGTTCTCAACATAGTTTTTCAAAAGCTGAATCGGAAGGTAAGAGGTCCTTCGAGCTCCTATTTTTAAGGAGCCCAACATACTGGAAGAATATTCTCATTCACAAATGTGTGGAGACTGGAATAGAGAAACTTGCGGCTGCAAGAAGGCGGTGTGCTGCCAAGACGCTGCAGACGAGCAAAGATGTTCGCACTCTGCCATGAGCCTTCCAACATGTTGTTCTTCTTGGCCCCTGCCCAAGTGTGCTGGGCCTTTTCAGTGTAAGGAAGGGGTTTGTGAATTGCAAAGTCGCTTTCAGATTTGGCACATCCCTTGGGCTCACAATGGCCTTAAAACTAGGCAAGACAACTTGTCATGACCTCTTCCTGAAGGGATGGCAGGCCCAGGGAAGAGAAGTGGCTCCACAGATCCCGGAGCACCTTGGGGCCAACCCAAAACAGGTCACTTCTGAATAGTGGGCTGCACAGCACTCATTGGCAGCACTGGCAGGGTCCTATGAGTTCTAAGAAGAAAACCCAGATAGAAGCGGCCTCCTATCTGTTAAGAAGCAGTTATTTTTTTTTACATTCTTCTGTAGTCCGAGTTTGTTTGTTTGTTTGTTTGTTTGTTTGTGGTGCCATTCATACGGATTCATAGTGTGCTTTTTTTTGTAAAGACAATTTTTTATTCTGTAACTTTTGCTGTCCTAGAAATTACTGTAAAGTACAGGCTTGCTTTGAACTCACAGAGATCCACCTGCCTCTGCCTCTGCCTCTGCCTCAACTGCTGAGAGTTGAGACTAAAGACACACACCACCACTCCGTGCTGGGTTGTGCTTTTTGAAACTACTTAAGTCAGGCATTGTGAGCTCTTCAGAATGTGTTTTTAGTTATGCCAGAGAACCCTGAGTAACACAGATACTAATGTTATTACACTGTTTTCCTGTAACTTCCTGTACTACTATCAGAAAACTTCCCCACCCTGATATTGTAGATGCTAGTTACCACTGGGATCTGTATGAGGCTTCCAGTTGGAAGGGACCTATACTGTGTCTAAACTCTGACACTACGAGTAAACAGTAGAGTGGTCCCTTGCTGAGAGTCTTTCAGCTTGGGAATGGCTGTGTGAAGGCGGCCCACTAGCAAGCCTCCAGACGCTGAAGGAACTTGTGCTGAGATAAGATACAAAAGCCAAATCTAAGCCTCTTTTTTTTCCCCCCCTCAAAATAGTTAAGAGGGAGGATTTTTTAATAGAATCACCCTGAGCAAAAGGTGAAAGCTGAAAACAGTGGATATGCAAATTCTCCTGATTTGAACAGTGCAAGATGCATGGCGAGTCAAGGCACCCTGCTATATTGTGGAAAGGTGTACATGGTCCTGGGTCAGAGTTGAGAGGAACGGTTCCAAATGAGCCTTGCCCTCCCGCTCCTCCCCTTTTCGCAGGTCTTCATTGCTATAGAGGAGGTGACGCGCTGCCACCTAAGGTTTACCTTCCGACACAGGTCATCCCAAGAATGTAAGTATTGGGGGAGGGGGAGGTGCTGTGGTCCGTTTCCATTTAAAAAAAAAATGTGCAGAAGTCATAGGTATCAGGGAAATAGGATGGTGGTTTCTTGTTTGTTTGTTTGTTAGTTTGTTTTGTTTTTTCTGAATGCTGGGATTGAACCCACAGCCTAGTGCATGGCAGCTATGTGGTCTCCCACTATGGTACACCCCCAGCCCTATACTTTAGTTGCTGGTTATCTTTGGGACAGGGTCTTGAGATAACCAGTCCAGTGTGGTCTCAAGCTTGCATTCTTCCTGCCTCAGTTCCCCAAGTAGCTGGAGTTACGAGTACGAGTCATACATCCAGCTTCCTTAAAGGGGTTGAAGTAGGGGTTTTGCTATGAATGAGTTTGAATTGAGTTCTCCTTCCTACGGTATGGAGAAAGTGTTGGATGGAAAGGCGTGAAGCTAGAAGGATGGGGCTCACAGAGGTAAACAGATGTGTTGAGCATGCCTTGGATAGAAACAGAGCACGGAGAGAGAAAGGGATCAGACGGTGCCGATACGTTCGGCATGGCATTGATCCACAGGGCTGAGATTGGTGTGGACGAGTCAGTAGACTGTGGTCTCAGTGAGCAGACAGAATAGAAAACAGCCCATATGTGAAATAGCAGGCGTTCGCAGTTTGGGGGTAGGTGCGACACAGACAAGCTTACTGCTGACCTGTGCTTATCCTATGGTTGAACATCACACCCCAGAGCTAATGTGAAATTAACTGCCGTCGCCATCACTTCCTGTGGTTGGCCCACACGGCTCAGGCATGTATTTCTGTCTTTTCAGCCAGAGATAAATCAGAGCGAGCTTTTGGGGTGGCCTTCGTGAAACTGATGAACACCGACGGCACCACCCTGCAGGATGGGAGGCATGATCTGGTGGTGTATAAGGTGATGCTCAGAGAACCAGACCGCAGAATGGCTCGGTCACACCTGTTCCCTTTGGACGTGGTTTTTCGGGCTCCTTTTGGATTTACGTGTATAAACTTCAGAAATCCATTGAGAGTTACATGAGTATGCACTTCAAAGTCTGGAGGGCTCCAGATTGTGCCTCTCTTGTGGGAGAGAGAATGGCATGATTATTGAGTGTTCCAGGAGCATCTCGCTGTGGGACAGAGGGTGTGGTGTGCCTTGGTCCTGATTAGTAAAGGGCAGAGCCCTTGATTCTGCTGTCCGTCATCCGAATGACAGACAGTGCAGGGCTGTGCCTGGCAGGAACCTGGCAGGGACCTAGCAGGGTATGATAGGATACGGTTTTTATTTACTGTGACCCATGCACCATTTCTTTGCTGTCTGGGCGCGGCTGCTTTTCCTGGTTTGTGTCCATGTCCTACACACTGTTCTGAGCCCTGAACCTCCTGAGATTTCAGAGTTTAGAGTGCATACTGGGCGATATCATTTCCCTAGCAATACCTGGTAGAAGGCAGCTGCTGCATGGTTGGCAGCTTGTCTGAGTTGTGCCTACCAGTGAGCGTTCTCTTTCCTTAGCATCGCTCTAGTCTTGAGTCCTTTCAGGATCTTCCTCCATTGACACAATGAAGTATACACGTGACCATTTATGAGTTCAATAGAATCATACTCAACCTTATTCTGTAATGCATGTATTTGCTTCTGGCAGAGAATAGGATATTCTCGTTTCTAGCTCACAACTTACTCCATTATTATTCCATGATAAAGCTATTTTTGCCACAAATTCCGTAGGAAGATGATGTCTGAATCATAGGGGGCGATGAATGTAATTTGATAAATTCACACATCTGCTAAGAACGACCATGCTTTTCTAGGGGAGGCTATTTCTTACTAGCATGTGAGAGATGTTGTGCAGCTTCTAGTTTTTCTAACTTGCTTCCCTTTCAGGGTGATAATAAGAAAATGGAGGATGCTAAATACTACCTGACCCTCCCTGGGACCAAAGCAGAGATGGAAGAAAAAGAACTCCAAGCATCCAAAAACCCATCCGTCTTCACACCCAGCAAAGACAGCACGAAGGACAGTTTTCAGATTGCCACCCTCATTTGCTCCACAAAGCTCACCCAGAACGGTAGGTGCAGGGATCGCATGGACACGGATAGCCCTGCTCTGGTCCTCCTTGTCTCCTTGGTTAGACTCATAATGCCAGGCCCTGTGGCACCAGGTCTTCTGAGACAGGATGCATGGCAGATGGATTCTGCCCTCTGCTCATCCAGTGATGTTCCTTACTTCTCCAAGTGCTTGACAAAAGCAGTTTGAATAAGGAAAGTTTATTTTGGCTCCTAATGCACGGGCTCAGCTCATCACGGTAGGGGATGACCCAAGAGCATGACACCAGTCACAGTGATGAAGCAAAAACGCGATGGATGCTGGTGTTTGGCTCCGTCTCTCCTTTCTAATCAGCCGGGGACCCTGTGCAGTGACACTGCCCACATTTTAAGTGGGGCTCCCCATCTCCATTAGCAACAACCTAGAAACTCTCTCAGACGGCCCAGAGGTTGGTCTCCTGGGGGACTCTAGATCCTGTCAAGTTGACAGTTAAAATGATCAGATGTCACAAATGCTTTTTCGTATCATAAAACCTAAGCGCATTCGCAAACAGGTGAAATTCCAAACTCTCAGGTTACGTTCCTTCAAGGCTTCAGACGTAATGCTGGGGGTCTCGTTTGGTTTTTCTAGTAGATGGTGCAGGAACAGTCAGTAATAAGGGGCAGATTATGGCTGTTATCAGTTCCGTGCCAAAACAGGGATGGCTGAGAGCATGGATTGATGTCAGGATTCTTTCTCTTGCTTATTTCCGTTACATATTTTGACGTAAGTTCTCCCTATATAGCCCAGACTGGCCTAGAAATAGTGGTAATCCTCCTGTCTCAGCTTCCCACATGCTGTGCTTACAGGAATGAGCCCCCACGTCCAGCAGAGTTCCTCTTCTTCCTAGTCTCCCCTCTTCCATTGCTCCAATAAACCAGGAATTGTCCAGGGAATCAGCAGCATACTTTAAACTCGGCTCCATGTTGTTTCTCATCAAACCTTTGGCATCAGTTTGAACCTCTTGTATTTAATGTGGCATTTGACAGCTGCAGCTGTTACTCATGTAACCTGGGCCACATGGAAGGATCGCTGCTGACTAGTGAGCCCAGGATTTACTGCCCAGGGATCTTACCCTAGCAGGTCCCTCTCATCAGGGCCTGTGAGCGGGAGGGTGATTCAGGTGGGAGCAGGAGAACAGGAGGTTGTCTTGGGGGAGTACATCGCAGAGAGAAGGTACACCCAGGACTCACATCCTGGTTGCTACTTAGAAGGAGTCCGTACTGGATTGGTTTTGACAAATCCTGGCTGGCTAGAGAATAAGGATGCTGTTTTACTTTAGAGTCTTGGCTGGACCCAACAGAATGAAGTTCAGAGCTGATCTACATGGGAAGATGAACTCAATTAAGGCAGAATGCGTTCTTAGGTTCCTAGGAGATACAACAGACTTGTGCCAGTCTTATAAGCTATCTTTGGGGCTTGCTGCAGGGGGTTGGGGCACAGGGACAACACGTGGATGACTATAACAAATTCCTGATAGAGGGCTACATTACAGGTGCGGTATTCACAGAGGCTGAGCTTAACCCCTAGAAATTGAACTTGGCATCAGTGAGGTGCGCGTCGGCACATACGTATGAGAATGTTTTCTGATATTTACAGTGTGGACACACTGGAAACAGCCCAAATGGGTGGCGGTTGGAATCCATTTAAATTGTAGGGTTTAATTAAATAGTGAAATGTATGTGGCTAGTGAATACATAGCTAATGGCATGGTGAACTTCTTATTCTCTACATGTGGTTCCGATTTTGGTTTCACTGACTGGAAGCTGGTTGGAGCTAGATTGCCTCCGTCAGTCCCAGCTCCGCCGTGACTTCCCCGTGACTTGGATTCCACATCTTTGAAGGAAAAGTAGCAAAATAGTACACGTTGAATCTCCCTGATCTGAAATTCGGGAGCTAGAAACACTTTGGATTTCAGAGTTTTAAAAGTTATGTGCGCACCTGGAGCGAGTTATCCTGGGGGATGTCTAATCATTAAACCCATTTTTTCCTGCTTTTGTTACCTGCCATGAGTAAAATCAGATCCAACTAGTCAAACCCTCTCCTGCTGCTACTCAGTAGTCATGTGACCTAAAGCAAGTGACTTAGGGTCATGATGCCTGCTTTTCTCCTCTGGGGGGAAAAAAATCCCTACAGTGCAGTTGTGATGTCAAAGTGTACTGATAGGTCTATATGCTCACCCTTCCTCCGAATCTGCCCAGACACGGATATCCACCAGGCAGGAGGTAGGTCAGGAGTGTTTTCTAAATTTACTTTTACAGTGATGATATCATCATCTAAGAAACACGGGTTTTAGTCAATCATTTTATGCTCTTGTGGATTAGTGTCTGATTTTTTTTTCCTCTCTTTTAAGGGACTAAGGAGGATCACAAGGTTTTCTCTGATTTATATGAAAAATAATATTAAATTACAGTAACCCCCGTGATACTTCTTCAGCTACTTTGTTGTTGTTGTTTCTCAAGACAGGGTTTCTCTGTAACCCTGGCTGTCCTGGAACCCACTTTGTAGGCCAGGCTGGCCTTGAACTCAGAGCTCTGCCCGCCTCTGCCTCCTCAGTGCTGGGATTAAAGGCGTGTGCCACCACTGCATGTTAAATTAGCTACTATTAAGAGCGGTTAACTTTTAAATGTGTGTGTGTGTGTGTGTGTGTTCACATGCACACAGGCAGGCGTGTGCCTCGTTGCACACGTGTGGGTCTGAGAACAACCTCGGAAAGCCCTCACTTTCCATTCTTGTTTGAGATAGGGTCTCTCGTTCGCTACGGCATAAATCGGTGTCTCCTATAGTGTCTCACTATAGGAGCATTGGTGTGTGTGTGGGGGGGGGTTAGAAATCTGAATTCGGATCTTCATACTTATGTGGCACTCACTTTTACCCCCTGAGCCATCTCCCCAGCCTAGCAGCACTTCCCTTTTCTGGAAAACGCCGGAGCCGCATCTTCTAACGTCTGTGGTTTGTGTTTGTTCTTCCCAGTGGACCTGCTAGGCTTACTGAACTGGCGTTCCAACTCTCAGAACATTAAACACAACCTGAAGAAGCTAATGGAGGTGGATGGAGGAGAGATCGTTAAGGTATGCCTCTATGTCTGTAGCCACAGGTCTGCCGCACTGGGTCTACTCTGTAGACCAGGCCGGCCTCGAACTCACAGAGATGTGCCTGCCTCTGCCTCCCAAGTGCTGAGATTAAAGGCGGGGGCCACCACCGCCTGGCTTTCATTCACATCTATTCTATAGAAGCCAATGTCACCCCCCACCTTTTTTTTTTCCATAACATGTAGCAGGTTAAAAATGAAATAACCTTTCTGCTTGTCTGGCCTTCAGTTTTTGCAGGATACGCTAGATGCGCTTTTCAACATAATGATGGAAATGTCAGACGATGAAACATACGACTTCCTTGTGTTTGACGCGCTGGTAAGCTGCTTCTCAGATTGGCCAGTGTTTATTCTTTGGCAGCTCATTTCTAAAGTGCCATAAATATCATCAAGCAGAATTACTCATATACATCTCTCTGAGTATTCTGATACTGATATTCTGATAGCCCAGGTATCAGAAGTCAAATTAGGAACTAAAGACTTCTCTTCCAAGCGCTAAACTCTATTGATCTCACCTTCCTGACATACTTTCACTTTGTCCTTAGGGAAAACAGTGGGTTTAATTACATTAGAGGTCAGCAGACACTTTAACTTCCTTTACAACTCTCTGGCTAAAGCCCAGGAGGAGCCCTTGATAAAGAAATATGTATGTCCTTGTCCTGCCATGTTGGGGAGGCTGCATTCACCAGTTAGAGATGAATCTTAGTGACCTTCTGTTCTTATGTAGCAGCCTAGCTGACAGGTTTGTCACACAGGGCTGACACCTATTCTGACAGCTGAAATTAGAACAGTGATATGTGATGATGGGAATCTGGGAAAGGCTTGGGGGGGGGGGGGAGACACATCTAAGCCAAGCCTAGGCAGGGTTTTACCTGAGGATTGGACCTGCAGAGGTAGGTAGATTGTAGATGTGTGATATTTACCAGCCTGTGGAAACTGGACAGTTCAGCAGGGGTCAGGGCATCAAAGCTAATGCTGGAAGATGGAGACAGACAAGGCTGTCATTGTGAAGTGAACCTCGTCATGGTCAGATTTAAGAGGCTGTCTAGAGACCGTGCAGATGAATCCCACCTGGACAGTGTGTCTGGCTCTGGGCATATATGGCAATCCGTAGTGCCCCCTTTCTTTGTACAAGTTCATCCTTTGTGTTCTGTGGTTACCTGTAGGTACGCACCCCATAGACATTAGGCACCACAGAGGGAAGAAACGAGGAGACCAAACTTGGAAGTTCATGGGGTACTCATACTCAGGGTGGAAAATCTCATAGGAAGTTGTGTGCGTTTGTAATTCCCACAAACCCCTTTCTCTCTCTTCCTTCCTCCTCTCCTGTCTTCTTCTGTGACTTAAGTCACCTGTGGGCAGAGGGCACTCCTTTGAGACACTAGCTTCCCATGGTGACGGTGTGGATCAGTTTACCCACAGCAGTATGCTAGACACATAAAACCTCTCTATGTTAAATGTACGCCCTAAGACTTAACGTCAGTTTGAACAGTAGAATAGAAATGCTGCAAAAATGATCAAGACAGAAAAGGGCCTAGAGGTCAGGGGCAGAGCGTCTGGGCCGTTCATTGCTGCTGTTAATGCTGGCCACCTTCGGCAGGTGTTCATCATTTCGCTGATAGGAGACATCAAGTTTCAGCATTTTAACCCTGTCCTCGAAACCTACATTTACAAGCACTTCAGTGCCACCCTGGCGCATGTGTAAGTATGTCTCTGGAGACCTGTGTGTTGCTGGGGTTGTTTCTGGGGCTGGACACTTGAGAAGCAAAGAGGAGCCTTCATGCAGTCAGTGTGGCTTATGGGCGGGGCTATGGTTTAAGCATCTTTGTGGAACGAGGCCCTTTGAATAATGTCTCAGTGGGACAAGGTGTTCGACTAAGTCCTTTCCTTCAGGATAAGGATGCATTTCTTAAAGCCCCAGGGTGCGGGCTGGGGAGATGATGCACTCAGGAAAGTGCTTGCTTAGTTTGATCGCTGGGACGAAAGTAAAAAGCCAGGCATGGTGGTGCATACCTGTGATCCGTGCCCTGGAGAGGTGGAGACAGGAGGATCCCTGAGGTTTGCTGCCTGGCTAGTTACATTGAATCCGTGAGCTCCAGAGACAAACTGTCTCAAAAAATGAAAGTGGGGACTGGCTATGTGGCTATGGAAACATGTGATGTAGACCTTTGGCTTCAATACATAATGCGCTCACCCCATTCTGTATGTAAACACACGTGCAAATGCATGTATACACACAAAACCGAAAAGACAAAACCCAAGGACATGCAATGGGGAGATGAAGACAGGCACCAAATTCCCACACAGATGACAAAACTTCAGGATTTTCTGAATGAGATGGACATGAAGCACCAAAGGGTCCAACAATGAACTAGGCAAAAGCAAGGCCTACCCCACAGTAATTTGGGAAGCTGATTGCTTATCAGACATTAGGTTATTTGGTTTATTTTTCCTTTACTAGGAGTCAGTAGTTTTAACCTTCTGCAAAGAGCAGGCTTTCTGTGCAATGTGTGGCTTGCTGACTAGAGGAACCAACTTGTGTTCGCTCTGTTTCTCCCTGTGGTGCTCAGCTCTCAATGACAGATGGGACTGAATCATGACAGGAATGTGGCTGGGATTGGTTAACTGTCCTCTGGACAGTGGCTCATGCCAGGTCATGTTGAAATGCTCTCTAATGGATCAGATCAAATCATTGCTTCCGGGGTTTTTTCCTAAGCCCACAATCATGAAGAGACAGAAACACAACTAATGCAAAGATGGTGTTACACAACATATTCACCAGCTAGCCTTATAATCAGTGAATGCCTCATGGGTCGAGAAGGCAGCACACACACCAGCATTTGGCATAGTTCCATGCAGCCCCTTGGCTTTCCAAGGGGTCAGCAGCAGCAACTGAGAAAATCCATTATAGAGACTGATTACACTGAGCTGAACCAGACCCTTGGGCAAACCTGAATTCCTGATTCTCCTGTCTCTGCCTCCGGAGAGCTAGGATTACAGTTTCTCACTTTCCCACCTATCTCCTAAGGAAGTTTTTAGTAGGCAAGGTTGTAAGAGTGTAACTCAGCACATAGAGAAGGCTGATTAGGAGTTCAAGGTCAGGCACAGGCCTGCCCAGGAGTGGCCTGTTAGCCCTCTCTTGCCTGCCAGGTTTATCTGCACCACTTGATTAATTCTACATGTTTCTTTCAGATTTGGGGCTAATGAGAGAGAGAGAGAGGAAGAGAGAGATGGTAGGGAGGGAGGAGAGAGGAGACAGAGAGGTGGCGGGGAGAAAGAGAGAGAGATGATTTTATAAAACAAAATTGAAATATAGGTGCCCTTAAAAATCCAAGTTACCCTAGTACCATGGTACTGGGAGACAGCTCAGTCCATAAACTGTTTGCTCAAGGCTGAGGACCAGAGTTCAATCCCCAGAACCTAAGTGAGGAAGACCATTAAGGTGCACGTTCACCCTCCCCGTGCTTGGGAGGCAGAGATAGGCAGATTTCTGGGGTTCGCTGGCCAGCCAGCCTAATCAAAACTGTGACTTTAGAGTCAATGAGACTGTGTCTCAAAAAAGCATGGACAGTGCTGTGAAGAACAACATCTGTGGTTGGCCTTTTGCCTCCAAATGTATGTGCAAGCACATATATGTACATACCCAAATCATAATAAAATGTAAAACTACATGAAATCCCAGAAGATGTTTGCCTATTGGCATGTTCAGAACAACAGATGATAAGAGTCATAGTGAGTCCACTTTTCTCATCAGTGAAGTCTTCATAGGGTTGAAGCAGGCTGGAAGCAATTAGCTTAGGCAACTGCCACAGGCAGGTGTCATGTGTCCATCACAGGGCATCAGAAGATGTCTCCTGTACCTGCTAGGAAAAGAAATACTCCCATAAGGCAAATCCCTTCAACCCTTTGATCCTTTTTTCTGCTTTTCGTGTGCTTGTGTGTGTGGTGTGTCTGTATGCATGTGTATGGGCACGGTGCATTTGGAGGCCCAAGGTTGATGTCAGTTCTGGGTCACTGCGCCTGTTTAGTTAGATGGCTAGATTCCAGGATCCCCAATCTCTGCTTTCCCAGCGCTGGATCCCAGGTGACTCCAAAAGAGGTGCCTGGCACTTACTTGGGTGCTGGGAATCCAAACCCCAGTTCTTATGCCTGCTGCTCACATAACAAGTGCTCTAATCACTGAGCCCTCTCCCTAGCTCCATCATCTCCTGATCCTTCTTCTCAGTTCCACTAAGGGATGCTTGCACCTTGGGGAATTAACTATTAATTTTCCCAGGGTTTCCAAGAAGAAGAGAAATATTCAAGTTAGACAGATGCGAAAACAGAATAGCAGTTGGTTTGCCCAGTTAGGGCACATTCAGGAGGGTGTACTTGAAAGCGGAGCTTTGTGACCCTTTCTGTGCTGCATAACCCAAGCCCCACGTTGCCTATGACAACATTGCTTTCTTACCCTTTTCAGGAAACTCTCCAAGGTACTGAACTTTTACGTGGCTAATGCTGACGACCCTAGCAAGACGGAATTGCTCTTTGCTGCTCTGAAATCCTTGAAGTACCTGTTTCGATTCCTCATCCAGTCTCGGGTGCTCTACTTGAGGTAATGGTCCCACGATGGGATGCTGCTGGCACTCGCCTAGATCCCCTTGTTCTACATGCTCGTTTGTATTCACTTTGTGAGCGATTGGTTGGTCATGGAATAACCAAACTTCAGGTCTTGGGGGGTGAAGGTAGAGGTGGATTATGAGAGCCCTGAAGAAGGTCCACATGAAGTCCTTCAGTATACAGAGACTTCTAAAGCAGTAATGACACCAGGACGCATGGGTATAAACGGCTCAATATGCTTCTTACCCCAGAGGTCTTGGTTGGTGATGATGGCTTTTAGAGAGAGTTAGACAGTCTTATGGCAAGCCAGGAGCTTGGGTCTAATCCAAGTGTGGTGGCAGCACTGGGAAATAATGAACTCTGGCTTCTAAATGACCATCTCATTTTCTGTGTAGAAAGCAATCGGCTTCCTGATAGGCTGCTCCAGGGTGAGACACTCAGGCTGACTGAGATGAAAATGGTGGGTTGATTCTGGAGGAAGAGATAGTTGAATGTTGTGGAACTCGATGGGGCAGTGATAGAAAGCGAAGGACTCCAGACAACCTTGAGGTTGCAGTGGGCAGTGATGGCCTTGGCCGAAAGAAGAGCCATTGAAAACTGAGCAGAAAGATGAAGTGTGTTCCATTTTTGGTTGGTTTTGAGGTGCTTTTGGGATTAACTCCAAAGAGATCTTCGTGTGTGTGTGTGTGTGTGTGTTTGTGTGTGTGATGTGTTTTTATATGCATGTGCAGCCAGGCACATATATGGAACCCAAAGGACATTGAGTGACCCTTTCTTTCACCTTCTGCCATCTTCCCTTTTGACAGGATCTCAGCGAGCCTGGAGCTCACCAGTTTTTGGCAAGCCCTAGTGATCCTCCTGACTCTCCTTTCCCCCCAAACCCCAGTGGCAGAGTTACAGGCTCATCTGGCCAAGGCTGGCTTATTACATGGGTTCTGGGGATCTGAACTTGGGTCTTCGTGCTTACCCAGCAGGTGCTCTCATCCACTGAGCCATTTCCCCACCTCAAGTTCTTTTTCTAATTCTGCCAAATGGGTGCATTGAGAGCTGCCAGTTATCATCTGGTTGAATCACGTTCTCCATGGAGCTCACACTCCTTGATTACTGTATTCCTTAACTGAGGTGTTGAGAACCAGAAGCGATTTCAGGTTTCAGATCTGGGGAGGATTTTGGAATATAATAAGATACCTTATGGGTGGAGCTAGAATCTAAAAACAGAGTTCTCCTGTTTTCCATATACCTCATGCACATAGGCCAAAGGTAATTTTATACAATTTCTTCATGTATCTACAAGTACATACATGCTTGAGCATGTTCATATATTCTGAATCGGTTATACCTCCTCTTGAGTACTTGGTGGAGTTGCCATCGGTGACAGAGCGCACGTTCTGCTCATTGAGCTGTCTGTGTTTGGGGAAAACTAGCCAGAGACCTTCTAGTGTGTACTTAGGTAAAAACAACCAACTGGTGAGTTGAGGGCACATGCAATCAGAATGCTTTAATCAGTGCAAGTAATTGTCAGTAACACTCAAGGTGCCTGCAGTGGAGCAGGGCAGTCACAGCCTGGGAGGTACAGTGGAGAAAGCCGGTGGCAGCTGGAATTTGTAGGCTAGGTTGGGGAGCTTCTCCACTGTGCTTCTGGCCTCAGCTCAGATCGAGGCTCCATGCTGTGAGAAAGTGGAAAGGCAGGAAACAGGAGGGACGCCAGAAGAGAACGCTCAAGGCTGATCCAGACGCCAGAGATGTGTGCTCAGGAAGCCTGAGCCTCTTGTTCTGGCTCATGGGCTGAGGAAGGCAGCCATGCCCAGCTCACCTGCTACATCCACACAGTGACTTTCTACTGCTTTTCCTCTGCCAGTGGTGCCCACAAACTACCAGGGCCAAGTGCATCTCCAGGCTTGGGCCCTTCAGACAGCTCCAGCTGTTAACCTGGTTTGCCGGCTATAGGCCCTGTGTTCGGACTTCACCTACAAATGGCCACTCTGCTTTTGTTGGTCTTTTCAATCTATTTGTCCTGGGGTGTCCCCATGAGATGTCTCTGCACAGTTTAGAGACCGTGACCAGCAAGGCACTGACCTCTAGTGTCGCTTTTTGAGACCACAAGTCTACTGTCCGTTTTCTTTTTCTCCTTAGATTTTATGGTCAGAGTGAAGATGGAGACGAATTCAACAACTCGATCCGCCAGTTGTTTCTTGCTTTCAACACGTTGATGGACAGGCCTCTAGAAGAAGCGGTCAAGATCAAGGTCAGCCTGGCAACCTTGTGGGTGACCCCTCATGAAGATGTGACCTGGTAGCGGGGACATACGTGAAGTATGCTCACGAAGAGCTGGAGAAGCTTAGTAGGATGGGCAGAAGTAGAGAAAAAGGGTATGAGGCTGTGGCTCTATGGTAGAGTGCTTGCTCAGCATGCGTGAGGTCCCGGGTTCTAGCCGCAGCACTACTGAAGCCAAACCCACAATTAAAGTAAATATGTCCACATCCCAATAACGCCAGCATCTCTTGGCATAAGGGCACTTGCTTCCAGTTCCCTATTTAAACCTAAGTCCTGCCCTTTGTTCCTGGGGCACAGCGGTGTATTTTGATTTAGTCTTTCTTGGCACTGACTGCCTCTGCGCTCCTTACAGGGGGCAGCCTTGAAGTACCTTCCCAGCATCATTAATGACGTCAAACTGGTGTTTGATCCCATGGAGCTCAGGTGAGAAGCAGAATACCGTTTGTGACTTGAAAGTAACAGGAGCAGCCCGGTGGTAGGCGGGCCTGGACGCTGCATTTGCCTTTGTTCTAACAAGTGCTACGGGAAGGAACACCTGCTTGTGCTCAGTTCGTGGAAAAGACAAAAGAACACACAAAGTGGGCCCCTGGGACAGACTTTGCACTCTGAGGGAAAAGAAGCTGTGCAAAGGAAGGTAGCCCCAGAAGGCAAAGGATTTTAGAGAGGAGATGGCTAGAAAAGGCGTTTTACAGAAGCTGAAGCAGCAGACAGGTCTGGAAAGTGACGGCAAGTGTGGGTGTGCTGGGTGTCCCAGGGGCAAAGTCCCGAGGCAGAATCCTCTAGGGTACGGGAATGTAGCCCCAGAGACACTCTCAGGTCAGGCCTTAGGTCATCTGTGAGTTTCCGGGTCCACTCCTCCTGCTCAGTGCTCCCAGAGCAGAGAATCCGGTAAAGATGCCTTCAGCTTGGCCAAGTGAACGGACTAACCATGTGGCTTCTCTTCCAGCGTGCTCTTCTGCAAGTTCATTCAAAGCATTCCCGACAACCAGTTGGTCCGGCAGAAACTAAACTGCATGACCAAGATAGTGGAGAGCAGCCTCTTCCAGCAGGCAGGTGAGTCTGCCTCAGAACCTGTGCCATTTGGAGAAGAGGTCAGACACCTTCCGCTCACCATTCGAGCACACGTGTGCCAGAGTGGCTTACTGTGGTGTTATGGCGAGTTGTCCCGAATCTGGTATTTCTGTTCTCTGGTCTTCCTGGCTCAGATTAGGTTAGTTCGTTCTAACAAGTGAAGCCTCTGTTTAAATTGAATACGACAGTGTGTTTGCAGCAGATCTGTGTGATATTTATTGTCTTCACAAAAGACCAAGAAATGAAATAAGGCATTAATTGTGAGCTTATTGATGAAATTTTATAAATGAATTGTTAAGAACAGAAGATTCCACAGCCTCTCCCAGGCCAGGCTGACATCTGTGACTGTCAGCACTTAACCTGCCGGTTTTTTGTTTTC